TAAAGATAAAATTTATATATATATATATATGAAGAAATTCAAAATATTTTAGAAGTCTAATAAGTAGGAAAAACAAAAAAATATATGTATATGTATCACCTAAAAATTACCAATATGTGGTATTAGAATTCTAGTAGAGTTTGTACAATTGAATGTAAAAGAAAGAATATATTGTCATAGAGATAAAGTTTATCTTGTATCAAGTTATAGAAATAAAGTTTATATAGATAAGGTTTATCTACCAAATTATAGAGATAAAATTTATTTAGCTAATATTTTGGAAGTTAAGTAGGTATGAAAGACAGGAAAATATGTGTGTATAATTGATTTTATGATAATAATTAAGGGTGAAATAAGAAACCAAAAGTTTTTCAAACATGCTGACATTTATAAGTAATATAGATATAGATAATAAATTNGTTTATTTAGCTAATATTTTAGAAGTTAAGTAGGTATGAAAGACAGGAAAATATGTGTGCATAATTAATTTTATGATAATAATTAAGGGTGAAATAAGAAATCAAAAGTTTTTCAAACATGCTGACATTTATAAGTAATATAGATATAGATAATAAATTTAAACAATAAATTAGGAAATATGATACTAATAAAATAAAAAATTATAAAATCACAATAAAAGGGTAATTGATTCCAACCATTACTTACAAAAAATAATTACCTAGTGTTTTCTGTGATTAAAAAGCAACTCCGAAAGAAAGATAAACAGGACTTGTATGTTTGATATCAACACACTCTGACTTCTCTCTTTTTCTCTCTCTAAACAAGCGATTGGAGATTAGTTGAAGCTTGAGGCTTCAATGCACCCAACAACCACTGCTACTAACAATCAAGAAATACCTATTGTGATGGATGAGGATCCCATGAATCCACAGAAACAGACACAAGAGGAGGATGACCACCTTGAAAGAAGTACAAAGAAAATTAAAGAATCGCACAAAAGCTAAGAGGATGAAATGCTAGTGGAATCTTTTCCCCAACAGAGGATAGAGTCCATAAAAGATCAAATGCTTGAATATTCTCCACCTTTAAAGGTACCACAACGAAACTATAAAGCTGCACTATTGGAAGATAACAATGCTCAGATGAAGAATGAGATGAGGACCAGCTAAAAACTCACCCAGAACTGGCATCTTCCCCAATCAATTATACAGATGAATCCTACCCAAGCATTAACCTGTCACAAAAAAAAAAAACTTTAAAGATTAAGGAACAAGTGGAAATATGGTCTCTAGGTTAAGCTTTTGGGGAAAAGTATCAGCTACAAAGTCCTTTGTATGAAAGTCAGAAATATGTGGAGTATACAAGGAGATTTTGAAGCAGTTGATCTAGACAATGGTTTCTTTTTGTTCAAATTCCACATGAGGGAGGATTTCTACAAAGTTTTCACAGGAGGACCATGGATCATCATGAACCATTACCTCACTATCAGGAAACGGGAACCCAGTTTTATTCCAACTAGAGCATCGAAAGTTTCAATGGCACTATGGCTAAGATNGTTGATCTAGACAATGGTTTCTTTTTGTTCAAATTCCACATGATGGAGGATTTCTACAAAGTTTTCACAGGAGGACCATGGATCATTATGAACCATTACCTCACTATGAGGAAATGGGAACCCAGTTTTATTCCAACTAGAGCATCGAAAGTTTCAATGGCACTATGGCTAAGATTATCGAAAATACCTTTAGAACATTATGATGAGAAAATCCTTTTTCAGATTGCCAAAATCCTAGGAAAACTAGTTAAGGTGGACACTAAAACAATAGTAGCAGGAAAGGGGCAAATACGCTAGGATTTGTATGGAGAGGGACTTGAACAAGCCGTTAATTCCCTTTTACATATTGGGAGGGAGACTATTTAGGGTTGAATATTAGTGTTTTGTGTTGTACACACTCTGCCGGAAAAACCAACCCCTCCCAACNACTAGTTAAGGTGGACACTAAAACAATAGTAGCAGGAAAGGAGCAAATACGCTAGGATTTGTATGGAAAGGGACTTGAACAAGCCGTTAATTTTGGGAGGGAGACTATTTAGGGTTGAATATGAGTGTTTTGTGTTGTACACACTCTGCCGGAAAAACCAACCCCTCCCAACCCCGCCGGAGAAACTTCCTCGTCGACAACAGTAACTCCCACAGAATGGTCCACTACAAATCCGAATGTTGAACTAAAGGAGGCTCACAACCAGGCTGAGAAGGAAGAGTATGGGCCTTGGATGATAGCCCAACCAAGAAGAAGAAGAGCCCAGTTGAATAAGAATGGTAACGTACTCATTAGCCCACAAAACCAAAATAGATTCAGAGCTCNACAAATCCGAATGTTGAACTAAAGGAGGCTCACAACCAGGCTGAGAAGGAAGAGTATGGGCCTTGGACGATAGCCCAACCAAGAAGAAGAAGAGCCCAGTTGAATAAGAATGGTAACGTACTCATTAGCCCACAAAACCAAAATAGATTCAAAGCTCCGGAAACCCAACCCATGGACTCATCCCAAAACAAAAAACCCAGATCCAACTGTCAATCGGGTCAATTACCAATCCAAAGGTAAGTAAACTGAACCAACCACCAAGTCTAGTTTAAAAAGAACGAGGGAGCAATCGATTAAAATCCAATGGATCTAGTTCCCACGAAATATCTTTGACACTTTGCACGGGTAAAAATCCGTCAATAGTTGAAATAAATCAAGGTGCGCCCCTAGTCTTCGAGCATCACCCTCCATGAGTTGCAAGGCAGAAAAAGGTTAGAGGGAACCCCGGCGTTGAGTCAGGGGAGGCCCTTTCGATGCCTAAGTCAGTACTGCTATCAATATCTGAATAGGCAAGTGTATAAACTAGAAAAATAATATGTGTGTTTGAAGTATAGAGCCAACGTAGTCATACTTAAGGCCCCCTCTTTCTTGGGTCTNAGAAATATCTTTGACACTTTGCACGGGTAAAAATTCGTCAATAATTGAAATAAGTCAAGGTGCGCCCCTAGTCTTCGAGCATCACCCTCCATGAGTTGCAAGGCAGAATAATGTTAGAGGGAACCCCGACGTTGAGTCAGGGGAGGCCCTTTCGATGCCTAAGTCAGTACTGCTATCAATATCTAAATAGGCAAGTATATAAACTAGAAAAATAATATGCGTGTTTGAAGTATAGAGCCAACGTAGTCATACTTAAGGCCCCCTCTTTCTTGGGTCTTCACCCATATATATAGAGAAGGTTAGAGAGCTACTTACCCTACTGTCCAACTGTCAATGTAGGGAGATAGGCATGGACTAGCCTACTAGAATACTCATTACCTGCCATATATTTATAATATTGGATCTTACTTGTGATATATATCAATTCCTTCATTAGGAGTGGGGCTGGTGGACCCACTTGACATAAATGTCTTGCCAACTACCCCCCAACTTTCATTTTCTTTTGTCGCGCTTAGAAGAAGATGGAAGCTACTTGAAATATTCATGTATTTGGCGATAATATCCGCATCTTCTTTGGCAATGTACACCTTGAGAGAGATATGTCGNTGTCAATGTAGGGAGATAGGCATAGACTAGCCTACTAGAATACTCATTACCTGCCATATATTTATAATAGTGGATCTTACTTGTGATATATATCAATTCCTTCATTGGGAGTGGGGCTGGTGGACCCACTTGACATAAATGTCTTGCCAACTACCCCCCAACTTTCATTTTCTTTTGTCGTGCTTAGAAGAAGATGGAAGCTACTTGAAATATTCATGTCTTTGGCGATAATATCCGCATCTTCTTTGGCAATGTACACCTTGAGAGAGATATGTCGAGACCCACTATATACTATCAAGCAAGCACGGAGGCCGAATATCATACAACAAACCCTTTACGTCTAGCAATAATGAGATGCCTTATTGAAAGGCCAAATAATAGAATCCCAAACATAATTATAAGATGTCGTTGGAGAAAGCCGAATCTTATACGAGACAACCATAGGTGGTTCATACTAATCTGGAGAATCAATAATATCCAAGTCTAAAAGAGGATGACCACATTCAAATATGAGGGATGAGTATAATTGAATCCCAAAAAGAAAGATCATAATCGAATCCCGAGTACGATAAGCAATTATCGGGTCATAAACGAGACGATCATGAGGCGCCTTCCAAGCCAAATATGTTCGAGAGATATCAATAATAGATGTTGTTGATCTTTTGATTAGAGACCGAATAAGCTTGGCCTCCAAAGATAAACCAAATGAGTCCAAGGCAAGATCGAATAAATTTGGTCCTTGAATGACTGAATACACTGTGTCCCCACAACATGGCCGGACAATCTTGGTCTTTGAGAGAAGGTCTCTATGTATAAAGTCTCAGTACATGAGTTTCTTGAAGAAAAAATTAATAAAGAGACCCCAAACACATTTGTCCCTTGAGGATGAGTAATAATGAAGTCCTTTATTGAGCAGCTCAAGGGATACCGAAGATAATTATTAAATGTCTGCTAGAGAGATTTGAATCCCAAATGGAATAACCATAGGTGCTCCATAGCCAACTCCAACAAAGATAACAATATCAAAACCCCAAGAAGTGTTACTATAATCGAATTCGATGAACATCGAGCCTGAACGAGCCTAAAGTGAATAATAATAGTCGGTCCTCTGAAGAGGGAACAAATAACCATGAATCTTGAGAAAGTTCAAAATAAATCTGTCATTGTAAAGAAAGACCGAACACACTGGGTCCTCTGAAGAGGGACCAAATAATCTTGGCTCCTCTAGAATGTCCATAAAAGAAGGCCTGAACATATCTGTTCCTTGGCCTCGGTAGTCTCAAGTTTGATGAATAACTAGGCGTTGAGTCTTGCCCTTTCTTATCAGGTTCTATTCACATTTAATTGAAATAAATAAAAGCATACCTTATCGAACTGAGTCTTGAATATATCAAACCCGTAGTTAGGCAATTCAAGGTTCCTTCAGTGAGATTCTTCTTGAAAAGGTCTTCATGTCCGACATGAATGTTGATGCCGGGTTAAGCTTTCCCTTGTAACTGTATTGCACTATGTCTAGGGTCTCACCCAAATTCTAATGTCACCTCCCTAAGCAAGGAGTTATGTTTTTAATAAGATTCTTGAGCCTATCTCCGGTTGGATTTATGTTTCTAATAAGTTTTAGGTGCTTTGGCCATGCAAAGGCTTAACCCCAGGTCTCATACCACCTCCCTAAACAAGGAGTGCTCCTGAGTCCAGGTTCTTGAACCTGTCCTCGAGAGGTTTTTGTCTACAATAAGACTTTTTTGTGCTTTGGTCGTGCAAAAACTTACTCGTATTTAGGGCCTAGCCCCGAACCCCATGTCACCTCCTTTAGTAAAGAGTACTCCCAAGTCCAAGTTCTTGGATCCATTCCTAAGAGGTTTTATGCCTACANATCCTCGAGAGGTTTTTGTCTACAATAAGACTTTTTTGTGCTTTGGTCATGCAAAAACTTACTCGTATTTAGGGCCTAGCCCCGAACCCCATGTCACCTCCTTTAGTAAAGAGTACTCCCAAGTCCAAGTTCTTGGATCCATTCCTAAGAGGTTTTATACCTACATTAGGACTTTTGGTGCTTTGGCCGAGCAAAGGCTTACCCATTTTTTGGGCCCGGAGCCCAAGTGCCTATACATATATAGGGCTTTTGTCTTGAGTTTGTGCCCCCCAGTGTCATGCTTGCGATATTATTCAGCTGCAGTTCTTAGTCACTCGGCGATAGAAAACCGTNTGATCCATTCCTAAGAGGTTTTATGCCTACATTAGGACTTTTGGTGCTTTGGCCGAGCAAAGGCTTACCCATTTTTTGGGCCCGGAGCCCAAGTGCCTATACATATATAGGGCTTTTGTCTTGAGTTTGTGCCCCCCAGTGTCATGCTTGCGATATTATTCAGCTGCAGTTCTTAGTCACTCGGCGATAGATAACCGTGAGGGTTCGGGAGCTCGGTCTTTTCCAATTCGGCTCTCATTCTCGTCTAGTTGTGCTCCCAAGCAGAGCTTTAGAGTTGGAACACGTACAGAAGTGGGCAATGCTTTAAANGTTTGTGCCCCCCAGTGTCATGCTTGCGATATTATTCAGCTGCAGTTCTTAGTCACTCGGCGATAGAAAACCGTGAGGGTTCGGGAGCTCGGTCCTTTCCAATTCGGCTCTCATTCTCGTCTAGTTATGCTCCCAAGCAGAGCTTTAGAGTTGGAACACGTACAGAAGTGGGCAATGCTTTAAAGCCAAGCAAATCCTTTCTGAAGCCTGAAATCATATCATGGGGTCATCGCCATGTCCACAGAAGCTAGGTAGAAGACCCCCTTTTTTTTGTATTTTCTGGTCGGACCCTTTGGGGAGGGGGTTAAGCACCTCCCGTGTATATTCGAAGGTGCCAAACAACACTTGTGGGACTTGTCAATGGCGCCAAATAAATTCATGGAGTCTCTGAGCACTTCTTTTGCTCGATGGGGGTGCTTTTCCGATGTGGTTAACAACGCCTGAACATCTCTATAGCTGGGAGCTTCACTTCATCTGACTTTTATGAGCAGTATGTCCTAGGTCCACATAGATCGCCTTGGTTGCGACCTTGGTGACATGCCTTTCTAATTAATCGATCAAGTGCTNTTATGAGCAGTATGTCCTAGGTCCACATAGATCGCCTTGGTTGCGACCTTGGTGACATGCCTTTCTAATTAATCGATCAAGTGCTAGAAGGAACAATTCCTCTCCGTGGATGAGCTGTGACACTTTCGGTAATTATGAGGACCCAACTGTATATGATCATTGAGCAGAGAAAAGAGAACCAAGACAATATGCCATGATGATGGATCGATTTGAACAAATTCGTTTATCCTTTGGTGGCACCGATCAGTATTGCAATNCCCAACTGTATATGATCATTGAGCAGAGAAAAGAGAACCAAGACAATATGCCATGATGATGGATCGATTTGAACAAATTCGTTTATCCTTTGGTGGCACCGATAAGTATTGCAATGATGTTGAGCATATTCTAAGTGGCGTTGATCATATTTTCTTGGCTTGAAATAGAATTTGGGTAGTAGAACGAGCACTTCTACTGACGGCCCAAACATCTGAGTTTTTGGTGATTGCATAGCATAGCTCTATCCCTCATTAGGTTTGGGTAACGATGTCGACCAAAACTTCAAGAATCTAGATATTTGATGGTGTTAAGTTGAAACATTGGCCTTTGCTCAGTGNCAGCTCTATCCCTCGTTAGGTTTGGGTAACGATGTCGACCAAACCTTCAAGAATCTAGATATTTGATGGTGTTAAGTAGAAACATTGGCCTTTGCTCAGTGCACTTACGGTGTTTGATAGAATACTTAATTGAAGAGCCCTATGAGAGCTGACTATTATTTTTGCTTTCACTAGATAAGAATGGTGACAATCCTCGTTGGGAACCATGCAATGAAGCTTGCAGAATTTGTGTGATGGCTCATTCATCTCTTGATGGTAAACCAATCTCTAGTGATGTGCAAGGATAGATCGACCATCTCCCAAGGAGTGGTTTCCCACTTAAGAAGGTTGGATTCAACTAGCCATCAGAAGAAACAATCCTTGTTAATTCATGTGCGCCTAACGTTCCCCCTCACTAGTCTAGGGGTGGTGTTACTTTGGCAGCCAAAATTTGCAAGAGAAATGCCCAACTAAGAGCCCGACTATCATCGATGCCATCAAGATAATAAGAGCAATCCTGGTGCTTGATCAAATGCCTGATTGATCCTTTTGGAGAAAGCAGGCTGACCACATGTTCTTAGGCGATACCGATCATCTCTGTGTGACATACCCCCTAGACGAGTGTTGATGGTGTATTTCAACGTGGATGAGCTTAAGGTGCAGGTAACGTGAGATGAGCGTGGATCTGAGTTTCGAGGCTCATGTATGATGCTACAATAAAATATTGAGGGAATTAAAGGGGTGTACACAGTGAAAATATAGTAGTTCACCAGCTTGGGAGCTCGACTAATCCACTCTTCAATGGAGATTCTTGCTCCTTCCTTCACTATTTACTATACCAAAAGGTTTACAGACTGTAAGATGTGATACTAGGGTCCTGCCCCTCTGTTGGAGGCGTTACATAGTATTTATAGGGATTTTCCTAATTCTACGGGATCCGCCCTGAGATCTTCGCCATTTATTCGAGGAATCCTCCTTGATCTTAAGAGGTGATCTTTCCTGGATGAGAGTTTTATGCTTTGATTATAACTCTTTGCTGCCTCTACGGTTTCTGCTGACAAATAGCTATCTCTTTATTACTTCCGCTGCAGCTTCGATTGGGCTGGGTTTTACTTTGGTTTTATGAGTTCTGTGCGTCTGACCTCCACTCCCGAGCTCATACTTGAGAATTGCTCTAAGTATCATCAGTTGCCCCAGCTCTTGGTCAAGCTGGCTTGGGCAAGGGTTGAGCTTAAGATGTAGCAGAATGATTTTCCAATCAGCGACTTCGAAGTTTGCACGGGAATTTTTTTTTTTTGTAGGTGCTCCTGCCTTGAACCTGCTTGAATTGATGAGGGTAGAACAAATGACCCAAGCTAAGCCCATGTCTTTTCCTGATCTCATAACGCCAGATAATCTGTTCTTGTTTAGCGCCGCTGCAGCTGAACGGGACTTTCCATTTTTTCCTGAATCTGATCTCTCTTCTACGGGTCTAATGAGAGCGAGGATGCTGGGACTCGTATCAAGAAACGCAAGAGGGATGGTTCATCCTTTCCTTCATCCAGATCTTTCCTGGGAGAAGTTCAGTTTTCCTTTGCTGTGCAAAAAAATATGGATCTACTGTCAGCGACTGAGAAGGAAAGGGATGAGCTGAAAGAGAAGAACCTGCGTTTGAAAGAGAGAATAGCCAAACTGCAGAGACGACTAGGAATTTTGCTTTGATTGGTTTTTTTTGTAATCTTTGATGTTCTTGAAACCTTAATTTTCTCTTTCTATGTTTGCCGCTTCTTATACACAATTTGTGGCTTTGAGAATCTGGCAACTGATCTTCCATGTCGTTTCTTGGCTTGTGGACCAAAGACCCCCATTTTTGCTTTTTGTAATGGATAGAAGCTATGAAGCTTTTCCTCTAATCTACGTGCTGCAGGTTTTGCTTTTAGTTCTTTTGCACCAGGAAGCGCATTCTGAGCTGTTGCGTTTGCTTTAGGGACAGAAGAACTTGTCCTGAGCTACTGAGCTATTTTTATGGACTGATAAGTTCAACGTGAGCTCCAGGGCTCTTTTTATGAACTAACGAGTTCATCGTGAGCTCTAAGGCTCTTATTACAGACTAACGAGTTCGCCGTGAGCTTCAGGGCTCTTTTTATGAACTAACGAGTTCATCGTGAGCTCTAAGGCTCTTTTTATGAACTAATGAGTTCATCGTGAGCTCCCGAGCTCTTTTTATGAACTAACGAGTTTGTCGTGAGCTCTCGAGCTCTTTTTATGAATTAATGAGTTTGTCGTGAGCTCCCGAGCTCTTTTTATGAACTAACGAGTTCATCGTGAGCTCTAGGGCTCTTCATAAGAGTGAATGAACCACAAACTTGCTGCTTTATTAATAATCATATTACAGGACAAACTTACTAAAAAAAATTTCCTTAGATGTTCTGCATTCCAAGAGTGGGGTAGAATTTTTGCCGGGTCTGCTTTCATCCGGGGTGGTCACCTCAGGAATTTTTCGTTTTGTACCTCATACAAGATTTGCGATATTGTTGCGGTGAGTGGAGGGACCTACTGAGGTGTTTACCTCGGCTACAACTCTGGATGAGGTGGTCCCAAGCGATCTCTGAAGTCTCCCTTTCTTTTGGGGGATCGATCTCTGTCTCTCCTTAGGGACATATCTCGTCCTCTTTCTCTTATGGGACTTCGGTCCCTCTTTTTCTCTTCTTTCCCTTTGTCTTTTTGCACGGATGAGCTCCCCACTTTTGAGATGAGAGCTTCTTCGTTGTTTATGTACTTTTCTGCCTTGGCTAGTACTTCGGCCATGCTGGCCTGGGGATTTTTCGAAATAGAGAACATCAGGTCTTTAGATTGTACGCCTAAACCAGCTATGAATGTAGTAATGACAAATTTCTCGTCTGGGACATCCACTTTTAGTGATTCAGAGTTGAACCTCTGAACATAGGATCTGAGGTTCTCTTGGGGTCCCTGCTTCACATTCAACAGGTGGTAACTCGGCTTTCTGTACGTTCGAGCTCCTATGAAGTGAGATACAAAGGATATGGATAGCTCCTTAAAGGAGGAAATTGAGGTAAGGGGAAGCCTATTGAACCACGCCAGAGTTGAGCCTTTCAGCGTGATGGCAAAGGCTCTGCAGCGTACTAGATCCTGGTATCTATGCAACTCCATCTGGTTCTTGTAAGTGTTGAGGTGATCTACGGGATCCTTTATTCTATCAAAAGCCTCTATCTGCGGCATAGTTATAAAATCCGGCCTGGACATCAACTCGGTGAAAGGACTGGGTCAATGGGTCACTAGTTCAACCGTTGGGTCACTGGTTGGACCGGTAATATAATATAAAATTAAAAAATAATTATAAATAGACTAAAAAATCACAATAATTATAAAAATAACATCAAACATATAAAGTTTAGTAGAGAAAAATTATCAAACATGTATCCAATTTCAATGTATTCAATTTTCAATACAACTTGTAAAGTTAAGTAGAAAAAAATACCTCTATTGAAGTTCAAAANATCGATTAAAATCCAATGGATCTAGTTCCCACGAAATATCTTTGACACTTTGCACGGGTAAAAATCCGTCAATAGTTGAAATAAATCAAGGTGCGCCCCTAGTCTTCGAGCATCACCCTCCATGAGTTGCAAGGCAGAAAAAGGTTAGAGGGAACCCCGGCGTTGAGTCAGGGGAGGCCCTTTCGATGCCTAAGTCAGTACTGCTATCAATATCTGAATAGGCAAGTGTATAAACTAGAAAAATAATATGTGTGTTTGAAGTATAGAGCCAACGTAGTCATACTTAAGGCCCCCTCTTTCTTGGGTCTTCACCCATATATATAGAGAAGGTTAGAGAGCTACTTACCCTACTGTCCAGCTGTCAATGTAGGGAGATAGGCATGGACTAGCCTACTAGAATACTCATTACCTGCCATATATTTATAATAGTGGATCTTACTTGTGATATATATCAATTCCTTCATTAGGAGTGGGGCTGGTGGACCCACTTGACATAAATGTCTTGCCAACTACCCCCCAACTTTCATTTTCTTTTGTCGCGCTTAGAAGAAGATGGAAGCTACTTGAAATATTCATGTATTTGGCGATAATATCCGCATCTTCTTTGGCAAT